TTCTCCAGTATCCTTCCTTTATGTCTTTTTCCTTTTTTCTCAACCTTTCCTTCCATCCAGCCATTTCCCTGGGTATTCTGCTTTGATCACAGTCTATGTAACAAGCCAGAAGAAACGAGAGTATATTAAGATGGTATGAAAAAGAGCATTAGGTCTATTAACCTGTAGAAAAATTGGAAAAGAATGACAGTAATATGTCACATGTTTGTTTAAAAGAGAACAGTTGGATCTGCTACAAGGACCACTAAGCTGTTTGCTGAGAAATAACTCAGAGAGATGTGGGGAGGTGAGGAGGATCTGGGAGGAGTTGGGGGGAGGAAAATGCATGATCAAAATACATGGAAAAAAACACTTAAAGATTCCATTTCTCTGTGCTCTGGGTTATAGGCATCGTACAATCATCTAATAACAGTCTCAGATTTCTTTAAGAGGGAATGTAGGTGTTATTCTTGAGGAAAAATAAATCCAGAGTTTTATAGTTTGTCAAAGTTTACCTGTAGGGTTCTAATTTTAATTCAGGCAACATATCAGTTACCTCAGAGATTAATTTGCTCATTTTGTTTTCCTCTAGACCAATCTTCTGTGTATAGTGAACATTTGAATTATACTGTGAGTTTTAAAGAGTTGAGGTTCAACAATTCCTACTGACTACAGTAGTTAATTATAGACAAACAAGGGCTGAACTATTTGAGTAAAATAGTGAAAAGACTATCATCTGAGTTATCATCTGAGTGAAAGTCAAGCCTTTCTGTGGACAAAGATTTCTAATCTTGGACACAGGAGCCAACTAGTTTGAGTCTTTGGAACATTAATTTTGTGAAGACCGTCCTTTGCCCTTTCCAATGTTGACACAAGGAAAATGAAGCACAGATGTTTTTAGAAGTGGGAAATAGAGCCTGGTATTATCAGCAGTGTGAATTTGCCAATCTACAGAAGAATGATTACTAATAAGTGTGTAATAGTGAAGCCACTCTCTCCCATCTTTGAGAACTTGGGAATGAGAGACTCTCCTGCAAGTTATATATTGACAACCAATAGCAAGTGTTTGCTGAGATCCTTTTCAAACATATGTAGAACAAGGGACTTGGGGCATTTTGCATGCTATAGAAAGAGATGGAGAGAAGACAGAATCTTCAGACTTGAGGAAGCAGATTAAAAAGTCACTTAGAAAAGACATAAACATCTAGAAAACAATACATTACTGTTGGGCCAGGTAATACAGCCCATAATCCAAATTACTCAAGAGGGCAGATGCAAGAGAATTGCAAGTTGGAGGTCTACCTTCACTATAGAGTATGTTCAAGACAAGCCTAGGCAATTTATAAGGACTGTCTCAAAATGAAAAGATATGTATATATGTATGTATGTGTATACATATACATATATTCATACACACATATATACATACATACACACACACATACATACATACATACATACATACATACATATGCATGCTACATAGAGGGCTTGCCTATATTGCATGAGCAAGGTCTTGGTTTGGTTTAATCCTCAGTACCAAAAACAATTAATTAAATACAGTGCATAGTAAATGTAAAATAACAAAAGCTGATAACCTTATAAAAAAATCAGACAAGTCGGGAGAAAGAATAGGAGTGTTTAAGGCATCAATTAGTCTGCAAAATATTCAAGGTGATACTTAAATTGGGGTTTGAAAGGACTGGATTTGGATGTATACAGACTGTGGGACTGAGTGTGAAGAGAAAGATGGAAGCCAAGACCTAATGCAGATTTAAGTGTTTGCATATCTGTCCATTGAGTACAATGAGGCAGCTTATTTTTTTTTTAAGGGATTAGAAATGACATATGGGAAATATGGTAGTTTGACAGTAATTGGCCCCCATAATCACATATGGGGTGGCATTATTGGGAGATATTGCTTTGTTAGTGTGAGTATGGCCTTGCTGGAGAAAGTGTATTATTGTAGGGGTGGGCTTCAAAATATGCTCAGGACACTTCCCAATGTCTTAGTCAATTTCATATTGCCTGCAAGATGTAAGACTCTCAGCTACTACTCCAACACCATATCTGCCTGCATGCCACCATGCTCCCCATCATGACAACAATAGACTGAAACTCTGAAACTGTGAGCCACCTCAATTAAATGTTTCCTTTATAAGAGTTGCCTTAGTCATGATGTCTTTTCACAATGATAGAAACCCTAACTAAGATATAAATTGATCCTGGGAATAAATACGGAGGCAACTTCAAATGACCATTGTAGTTGACTGTTTAATATAAGGCTCTTTTGGTCACTAAATGGAAGACATTAAAATAACTCAAGAGGAAAGGCAATGAGAGAATATTCTAATTACAACATGATGCTGTATGTTCAAAAGTAGCTTATAGATCAGAAATCAAGGACACCCTATGACTTAGGACCACATTGTTTCTGTTTCCCCTCATGTCTGCTTCATTATCTTTTTTCTTACAGTTTATACACTCTGTTTAAATTTTAAAAAATCTTATTTTATATACCAATGCCAGTTCCTTCTTCCTCCCATTCTCCCATTCCCCTCATCATCTCCCCATCCCACCCTCCATCTACTTGTCAGAGAGGGTGAGGCCTCCCATGGAGGATCATCAAAGTCTGTCACATTATTTGGGGCAGGACTTAGGCCCTCCTTCTTGTATCTAGGTAGAGAGAGTATCCCTTCATAGGGAATGGACTCCAAAAGCCCATTCATGCATTATGGATAAATATTGGTCACACTGCCAGTGGCCCCACAGACTGCCTAAGCTCCACAACTGACATCCACATTCAGGGGGCCACTTATGTAGGTTCCCCAGCTGTCAGTCTGCAGTCCATGAGTTTCCACTTGCACAGGTCAGCTGTTTCTGTGGGTTTCCCCAGGAGGGCCTTGACCCCTTTGCTCATCACTCCTCCCTTTCTATAACTATTCCAGGAGTTTGGCTCAGTGCTTAGCTGTGGATGTCTGCTTCTTTTTCTGTCAGCTACTGGATAGTCTCTGTGATGGCATTTAAGGTAGTCATCAATCTCATTATAGGGGGAGGGCATTTAAAGTAGCCTCTCCACTATTGCTTAGATTCTTAGTTTGGGTTATCCTTGTGGATCCCTGGACATTTCCCTGGTGCCAGATTTCTCGTTAAGCCCGTAGCGGCTCCCTCTATCAAGGTATCTCTTTCCTTGCTCTCCTTCTCTGTTCTTCCCCCCAACTCCACCTTCCTGATCCTCATGTTTCCTCCCCCATCCCCTTCTCTCCTCCTTTTTCTCCTCCCTCCCTCCCCCTCCTCCATGCTCCTAGTTTACTCAGGAGATCTTTCCCTTTTTCCTTTCTCAGTGGTCCATGTATGTTTCTCTTAGGGTCCTCCTTGCTTCCTAGCTTCTCTGGGGGTTATGGATTATAGGCTGGTAATCCTTTGCTCCATGTCTAATATCCACTTATGAGTGAGTACACACCACTTTTTTCTTTCTGTGTCTGGGTTACCTCACTCAGGATGGTATACACAATGGAGTGGCAAATAACAATGACATCTTGAAATTCAAAGGCAAATAGATGGAACTACTCTGTTCCTTTATCTTCTCCAGAGTTAATACATGGCAGCCCTGAGCACTTCCTTGAGAGCAAAAATCGTTTCTTTTCAGTATCAATCATTAACTAGTTACATTTGCTGGTTAGATGTTTAAGAGAAAGAGAAACTCTTCAGTATCTGAGTAAAGTGTTCATTAGCTGGTTCATCTCAGGTATCCACCCCAATAGACCTTTGTACCCTGGACTTCAGGCTTGTGTCTGCTTCCCAGAGTCCTTAACTGAAGACAGCAGCAGTACAGGTAAAATGGTAAGGAGAGAGGGCAGAAAGAAGAGGGTAAGAAAGTGAAGCAAAGATTAGTTTGTTAATTACAGGCCTCCTTCTGGGTACATCACTGTCAATAGCCATTCATTCCCCATTCTTTGAAAGAAAGAAGAGAAATATTAAAAATATTCAATGATTTCAGGTTCCTGGAAGTGGATGTGAATATTCAATATGAAGATTTTATAAAATAAAAACAAGCTCCTTGTCTCTGTGTATCTTTTCAGGTAGCAATTTCCTTTGTTATTTGTTTCTACAATTCATTAAGAAAACTGAAAGGAACATCATCTTTTCTGAGAAGCACTCTTAAAATCAAGAGACTTTGTGAATTGTACTGCACAGTGACTATAGTTATTAACAATGTATTATATGCTTGAAAATCAGAGACAATTTTAATTGGTTTCATAGAAATAAAAACAAGATAACTATGTGAGATAATGCTCATGCTAATTAACTCAAGCCTTTGTATAATGTATACATATTTTGAAATGTATTATTGCAAATTTTTAAAGGGGAAACCTTGTGGGAGCCCATGTCTACACAAACAACTCCAGGTATGTAAAAATGTTGAGAGGGGGAAAAATAGTTTTCCCCAGGGAAGTCGTCACCTAATTGGTTATTCAATATGAAATGGTCCGACCACAATTATATACATACAAATGGATTGAGCATATTGTATTATATATCTAGTTGTGTGTGTGTGTGTGTGTGTGTGTGTGTGTGTGTGTGTGAGAGAGAGAGAGAGAGAGAGAGAGAGAGAGAGAGAGAGAGAGAGAAGAAAGTCAGGGTACATGGGAGGGTTTAAAGGGAGGAAGATGAAGAGATAAAATGATGTAACTGCATTATATAATAATTTAAACAAAGAAGATTGGAAAATTTACAGAAAATTGTTTAAACCCCTAGACTAAAAACACAGAAAAGGAGAGATCCATTATAGACCAGCTAGAATGTGGCAAGGGGCATGCTCAGGGTGCCAAATTTCAGAAGACACTCACTTTTAGGGTCATTAGAATTCAGAGAAAACATTTTCATGAACTAAATGGTGAGTACCTCCTTAAATTTTGCTCCTCAGCAGTCTAACTTACCTCATCTTGATCCTGGCTGTGATATCATCCATAATGATGTTGAACAACTTACACAGAGCCATTCCCTTTTTGCTGCCCCAGGTACAAAGCCATTGTCCGGCCAATGGATATCCAGGCATCGCATGCCCTGATGAAGATCTGTCTCAAAGCTGCCTTGATTTGGATCGTCTCTATGCTGTTGGCCATCCCAGAAGCTGTGTTTTCTGACCTCCATCCTTTCCATGTGAAAGATACCAACCAAACCTTCATTAGTTGTGCCCCCTATCCACACTCTAATGATTTGCACCCTAAAATCCACTCTATGGCTTCCTTTCTTGTTTTCTACATTATCCCACTGTCAATCATCTCTGTCTACTACTACTTCATTGCCCGAAATCTGATTCAGAGTGCCTACAATCTTCCTGTGGAAGGCAATATACATGTCAAGAAGCAGGTGGGTGCTTACTGTTGATTCATTGTCCTTCTTACGCACTTGGCCTCTTGCATTAATTTTGGATCTCAGTGACAAGTAGGTTGTGTAAGTGACACATCACTTGATTTTGATTTCGAGATTCTAGGAAGTGAGTGAGGCCTCTTTAAGGGATTTGGGTTATTTCCATGATAGGACACTTGCCTAGCATGTACAAGGCACTGGTTTTGGTTCCCCAGAACTGTGAAAAAAAGAAAATAATTCCAGGGACTCCAGTGCTTTCTATAGATGCTTCTTTTAATTCCAATCATGCTCTTTGACTAGGAAGAGAGTAACTACACAGATAAAGCAGAGGGAGAAGAAAAAGGAGATTGAGTGAAGAAAAAGATAATCTGGTTAAGATGGGTGACTAAAGTCAAATGAGATGGCATGCTTGAAAACTGTCTTCATGAAACACATCTCTATCTACACAGTGCACACCAATGAAAAAGGAAAGCTTTACAGAATGTCTGGCTCAACTCCATATTTGATTTTCCCTCTTGAGGCCTCAATTTTCTTATCATTGTTGTAATAACCATCTAATTTGGAAAGTTATTGGAAAATGTGTAATTGGAGCATGTGTAATAGCTACATGTCCCCGCATGCAGGCTATCCCCATATTTTACTCCTCCCTTTATCACCCATAAACTACTGAAATTTTATCCTAGAGGGACAACAAGTAGAAACTAAGGGCTCTGGGTTTCCTTTCTTTGTCAGTATTTTTAATTTTTTTAGATTTATGTACTTAAATTTTATGTATATGAGTGTTAGCCTAAAACGTGCGTGCACTATGAGTGTGACTGGTATCCATTGGAAGAAACTTATATATGGTTGTGATGCACCATGTGGGTGCTTGGAACTGAACCCGGGTCAAGACACCACTCTGGCCTCAGTCACTTCTTTTCGCTTCCTAGCCCAAATGCAGATCTCTGATATATTTAATGGTATACTAAAAGACCCCCAACTCCTTAGAAGTGAATAGCTGATTTCTTTGGAGGGTTCCTCTTTCAAAGTTCTTTTCCTAACAAGGAAAAATGGCTGTTCTCAGAACACCGGCTGCCTATTCGAAAGGCCTTTTAGTAAGCAAATACCCACTGTACCCCAGATTGTTTAATGAGAAAGAAGTCCCCCTTGAAGTCACAAAGGGAGTTAAATGGAAAAGGAGATATTCACTCTGCTTTGTGTAATCACCATCCTCACAGTGCTATCCAGAAATAGCTAGAGATTAAAAAATAATAATACAGACTTATCTTGGCTTGGCCAATGAGGAAGAATAAAGCTAGCTGCTGTTTTGAGCATCAGAGGGGATAAGAAATAATTAACTGTAGAGCAAAGAAAGGCATGAAGTAGAATGGCTGATAAACTGCCCCAGTGCTCTCTGGAGGAGAAAGAGGGCACTTACTAGAATTTCATTGTGCGATCCACTCAAGCATGTAATCAACTTTGTTTAAAGATCTGTTCTCAGCAGCATGTCCTAACATTTTACCTCATGGGTTTCTGCTTCCTTCCTTGTCAATCTGTGTTTCTGATTCAGTTTCCTTCTCCCCCCTCCACATCCCCCCACACACATTATCTTCATCTTCCTCCAATTAAACTCTTTCTGTGGCTCTGCCCCTTCATCCATTTCCCTGTCCGTGTTTGTCTTCATTCCCTCTAACACTGCACCCCCTCTACCTCTCTCTCTGCTCAGATCGAATCCCGGAAGCGGCTTGCCAAGACAGTACTGGTGTTTGTGGGACTTTTTGCCTTCTGTTGGCTTCCCAATCATGTCATCTACCTGTACCGTTCCTACCACTACTCTGAGGTGGACACCTCCATGCTCCACTTTGTCACCAGCATCTGTGCCCGCCTCCTGGCCTTCACCAACTCCTGTGTGAACCCCTTTGCCCTCTATCTGCTAAGCAAGAGCTTCAGGAAGCAGTTCAACACTCAGCTCCTCTGCTGCCAGCCTGGCCTACTGAACCGCTCCCACAGCACTGGGAGAAGTACCACCTGCATGACCTCCTTCAAAAGCACCAACCCCTCAGCCACCTTCAGTCTCATCAATGGAAACATCTGTCATGAGGGGTATGTCTAGACTAACCTCTCAACCTTGCCTCCTAAGGGACTCCAGGTTTTGTTTTATGGATGGCCAGGAGCCCTGTAATTGGTTGTTATCTCTGTACTTTCCAAAGACCCTTCAGGAGGCTGAGAGATACAGATGGGTAGGAGAGATGTGCAAATGCATCAGTAACTATTGTATCTCAAAGTGCTGGCTTCATTTTTTCATTTCAGTTTGGGAGGGCTTCTTCTGATGGAGATCAAATCTTCCTTTAAAAAAGAAGGAACAAATTGGAAATTATTATTCAAAGCACCAAGCCCTGCTATGCAAGCATGGCCAATTAAGTCATAGAAATTGTATGAACAAAGAGAGCTAAGAAACCACACATTGGATATCTACTCTGTGAAAGATTTTATTTAAACAGAAGCTGATTGCTTTCAAAACACGGCTTGACTCTTTTTTTCCAGAAATATCTATAATATGTAAACTAAGGGACAACTTTAATTTACATTCCTAAAATGAGAAGCCAACTCTAAAAAAGAGTCCCATGTGTGAGGAATGGACTTCATTTATAACATTGGGAAGCCAGTGTAATATAAAACAAACCTCTAAATATTGACTTTTAAAAATATGTTGCTGAGGACACAGGAGAAACACCCAATATAAAATGTTAAGGCAAAATACAAGCAAACACATAGATCCATGTATGGATGTAGAGTAACAGCTTATGCTCTGACTTCTCATTTCATAAAAATTCTGATTGTCATTAGCCCAATTTGGATCATTGTAGTGTCATTCTGCCATGGAGGAGAAATCCTTTTGTGAGGAAAAAAATGATCATTTTATCAAAGCAACAGCTATGTATAAATGTATAAATGATGGTGTTTATTCTTGGTATGCATATTTTGAATCAAATGCATTTACTTAGGTCTAATTGTCCTTGCTACGGTGAAGCAGTAGTTTCAATATGAGAAAGATCATAACTGTAGATAAATAAAATCATGTATATACTGGATGTATAGTTCCCCTAAAGTGTGTGAAAGAAATTAATATAATTTTAGTAGCATGACCTTATGTCTGAACATGTATATAAAAAAGTCATAGAAAGCTTAAATTTCTGAACCAACCAAAAAGGTACCATATATGTTTCTATTTAAAAAGAATGTGTATGAAATATTTCACATATAGAAAAAGACTGGACCAGCAGCTCCATCTATCTAAATGCATAGAGAGGACTCTAAAGTTTGGACCATATTACTTGAGAAATTCTGCTTTGAATTCTTCAGAACTTAAAGATGGGCCAATTCTGACATACTGTGAATATGCAAACTCACTTGACTCTAGGTCTAAGTTGTACAAGAGTATCCTAATGTGTATCCCTTACATCCTAAGGCAATTTTAGTTCAAGCTTTCTCTGCCTGGGTGAGATATAAACAGCAAGCACATAGCACATATAAAAACCTTTCTGTTGTTTGATGCAGGGAAGTACTGGGTGACTGTGGAGCTTTAGGCATTAGAACCAAGACAGTGTAAGGATTTGTGCTTACAATTGTACCAGCTGGAACAAAATCTTTTCATTCCCATTTTCTCTGGGCTTTTATGTATTATAAACACAAGCTTTTCTGGTAGTCCTTAATTACATTGCACTGCTTGAAAAGCAAGACAGACAGTGGAGGTAAAAGAACCAAGATGTCTTGCTATCCCAACTCCACCCCTAGCTATATGACTTTGTCTATCAGTTTTTCTGCCTCTAGGTTCCTTTTCATGTTTAAAGCAAGACAGAGCTAAGTCCCTTCTATTTCTATGATTCTCTGAGTCTCTTCATCTCCTCCAAGTCTGTCTTAAAAGCACATGTGTGGGCCATCTCTTTAATTAGTACACTTCGGCTTCTCTTACAACCATGAGTCATTAGAGACACCCTCACCCATTCTTCCATGCTCCCGTATACATGGGTGGGATGAAAGAAGCTAGGCTGTTCTGCTACCTAGGGACTCCTTGGCCTCACTCACATCAATAAAGGTTCATGAGTTTGCACTGTTTCAGCATTAGAGCTGAAAATATGTAAGAAAACATGTGGCTCAGTCTTCTCACTATTCAAAGGGATCTCTTGCTCTTTACACTTCTTTGGCTTTCACACACCTGTTCTCTGGAAATACTGTGTCACAACTTACTCTTTTGCCTCAGCCATTCAAAACCCTGGAGCATAACTGGATCCATGCCTACATAGTTGCTAACATAGACAGCATTCTGGGATGTCAAGAATTCTGGTATATGGAATTTGGGGTAGTAGTTTTAGCATCTTGGATATACCTGCTCCCAGAGACATTTCTGGAACAAGATACATCCTCCTGTCTCCTTCAGTTAACATCAGGGCACAGACAGTGTGTCTCTTTACTAGCCACTAGACAAACAGTGAGAGGATCAAGGTCTGGGCATTGCTTTGTGTCCAAAGGCAAATCTTGTTACTTCCTTGTGACTTGTAAATGAAAGAGTTGGAGGGAGTTTTTGGCAGCTGGTGACCCAAAGTGATAAAACAGAGTGAATTAAATAATGGGTTGAACTAGATCTTCTGATGAGGAAAGACTTAATTTCTCCTTCTCTTCTCTAACTAAATTTAAGTTTTATTTTAAAATAAAAAACCTAAAATCATATGAGAAACCTGAGATCCATGTAACGTCCCTTCTTGCCAGGGCAGAATACACGGGAGCTGGAGCCCAGCCATTTCATGCCTGGCTTCCAAAGATAATCACGTTTAGCACTTATGTCTTTGGTGAAGGAAAAAAAAATCAATTTTTGCTGTGGAAAACCATCTGTGTTTATTCAATTGACAGATACTACCTTTCAATCTATCTTAAATTGAGCCTCCCCAAGGCAGACAGCTCAACAGTGATAGATTAAGCAATAAACAAAGCAGTCTCCCCACCAAGGGCTGCTGCTAGCAGGGAAGGTACAGCTGCCATTGGGAGTGATATTCTACAGCAAGATGATCCTCCCTGGTTAGTGCAGAAAAGGCCCCTCCCTGCTGATGATTTTATGATTCCCCATAAACGTGCATGGCTCAACCCACTTCTTCTGGCTGCTCTCCCTTCCCCACTGAATCTAGCTTTCTGCCTCATTATCAAAGTCTCTTTGCCCCACTAATAATTTGGTTCTTCGGCATAGAGGATGGAGAGCCCATGGGGAAACTATTCAGAAGCCGCTCCAGATGAAGCAGCTTCATCTTGTTAGGAAAGTGCACACTGAACAGAAGTAAATGAAAGTGACTGTGAGATGTGGGAGAACTTGAGTTATAAAGTTCATGTTTCTGCCAAGAGGAGCAGTTGGTTATTGGTTTCCGAGCCTCATCATGTGTCAGATGGCTTCTAGTAAAAGGATTATCTTTGTTTGGAGAATGACGTGTTGAATGGCATCCTCATCTGTGGGCTAAAAGGTGGCTAGGTCATTTTCTCCAGAATTCAGATAGGAACAATTGCCCTGAGGTCCAGACAGTATGAGGATTGAATGAACAGTGTACCCCCAATCATGGTAAAAAGGGGGAGATAAACACTGTCTTGCCATCAGATCTCTTAACATCCACACTAGGAGGGAGTGGTTGTGAGAGAATAGATTAGAATTAGCCCTGGAGTTCAAGAAGGAACAGAGCATATTTTACCAAAATCCCTCTAACTTTGGTCCCATTTTCAAGAATGAACTAACAGCTGAAAGGAAGCAAGTATGCTTTATTTTTATGGGACCAATTTCTCTCACTCAGTCTCTCTGTGTGCATGTCCACACATGCTATTCAGTGAAACCGCACCACCCTAAACGCTCCTTCCTTCTGTGTCTATGTCTGGATTATTACTTCTCCCAGCCACACCCCTCCCATAGCACACAGACATAGCCACTTTAACACTGCCCCACTCTTACTATAACTTTGGCCTTCAAGGACAGTGAGATAGCTCAACTGCTAAAGGTGCTGAGCCAGACACGCTGAATTCCATCCCCAGAACCTATGTGTTTGAAGGCGAGAGCTATCCTGCAACTTGTCTTCTGACCTCCACACATGCACCAAGCTACATGCATGCCCTCCACACCCTCAACATAAACAAAGGTAATAAAAAGAAGTTTTAAAATATTACAATTTGGGCCTTCAAAGACATCCTTTGTTAGATAAAGGAGGACCAAGCATATGCTCCAGGAGAACATATATCTAGAGCAGTCAACAAAAAGCACATTAAGAACAAACTTTCCATTTATGAAACCTCATATTAGAAATGCACTTAATGGAGTTGAAACATTTTCTTAAATTTTTAAGGTTGCACATGTATACAATGCAGGATCCTTGAGTTAGACAATTATGGTCCATGATTAATTCAAAAGAATATTGCATTTACCTCATGTTCATGGTCTATAAAGTATTCTCACACTCATTACCTCATAAAACCAATGCCTTTCCCACTGACCAAAAATCCCATTTACATCCTTTAGTATGGGAATTTAGAAGTATTAAATTCACTTACTTGTGATCATCCAGCACTGAATTAAAAGGTCTATGGAACCATGGGACTGAAACATGAGCCGTCAAAATCAAACCACATTTGACCTACGAAAGGAAAAGGCTATTTCATCCACCACAATTTAATTTGATTTCATTTTGCTCTGATCTTAATTCACCATGCTTTATTCTTGTGGTTCATCCTGTGAAAATGGCAATCATTTCTTCCCCAGTTTCCAAGAAATTTTGGTACCCACAGAGTCTCCTTACCTTGGTTCGAGGGAGTTAATGGGGTTATTGATATCTGCATGGAAGTGGGAGTATCATCTCATGTTATAAGGAAGTTGAAGGCAAAGACACAGAATAAGATGCTTGGGAAAAGCAATGGACATGACATGAATATCATTTATCCAAAACCTGAGTAGATTCCTGTGGCTTTGAAAGTGCTAGGACTCAAGTGATTTTGTGTCAGCAAACATTCAAATGTGAACTGCTATCCTGGGCATATGAAACCATGATTCAAGAGTATTACTTAACAATCCTAAGATTACTTGGAAGAGTCAAGTGGCAGAATATAAATATAGACCAGAATCTCTGTTGATTCTACACCTTCACACAGCATTACTTCCCAAATCCAGATTGTGTGAGAAATGATTCTAATAGGACTTAATACAAAGCCCTGTTGCTACTCTAGATGTTGTCCAAAGGCCTGA